AACATTGACTGGCCATTCTTTAGCCACTCAATTGAACTGGAATGGCTCAAACCAAAAGAGACCTTTTCAGAACCTGTTGTTTCATATAGGCCAGGGATCCTCAAATATGGCTCACGAGATCCACTTTACTGCAGAGTTTAGTTCTAACCTTAAATCAAACATATCTGAGCATGTCTTCAGGATCATTAGAAAATCACAGGTGGGTGAGTTTGATCAAAGTTGGAGCCAAACTCTGCAGGAAAGTGGATCTCACGATCCATATTTGAGGTGTAACAGACATGAGCCTATTTTGTGGGCAGTTTTCTTCCTTACCACTAGGGGTGCTAATGTGTTTTAGGTTTCCTTAAGTAAAGCCATGTGGTAGAGGGAGTTAGCAAGCACACTCCATCCCAGTAGGTGGCGGAATATGCACCAAAAGCTGGTTTGCCAACCACCATTAAACATCATCATCATAAGAAGAAGGGAGTTAGCAATAACAAGCAGCAGTAACCAGCATGGTTCACCTGCTGAACACATTGTGCAGTGTCCTTGTTGGGAAATGTGTAATATCAAGCCCAGTCTAAAAGGATTTTTTTTTTTTTCCTATTTAAAAGTGTACATTGCTGATGTTTTTTTGCAGAGATGTTACATGTAATTATGGCCTATGTTTGGATTAATGCTAAGAGTTTAAGATAGTGTATTTGTATGCATTTTAGGAGGACTCTTTATTGGTGAGGCTACCACATCATGGTCCATACAGATTTAAAGTTCTTTTCGACGTGAGACCATAGTTTGGAATATTTTTGACTTTTCCTGGTTAGGAAGCGTCTGGTGTTTGAGTATGGCAAGCTGTTTTGACTTTTATTCATTCTCAGGATATGAATTCTTGATATCAACAATTCTATTTTTACTAGTTAAAATGTTAATTCTTGATATCAGGAATTAGATTCCTATTAGTAACAATTGTTATTTTTGATATCAGCAATTACATTTCCACTAGTAACAATGTTAATTCTTGATATCAACAATGACATCATCACTCGCAGAAATTGAATTCTTGATATCAGCAATTAAATTTCTACTAGTAAAAAAATATTATTCTTGATATCAATAATTTATATCCTGGGAATGGCAATAGGCAAGCCGTTTTGACTTTTATTAATTTGCTATGGCAAGCCATTTTAGCTTAAAATATCCCCAGCGTTACTCGTCGTAATTGCATTTTTACTAGTAACAATTCAATTAAAGAGCTCTACAATTAAATTCTTACTAGTAACAATGCCAGTTCGAGAGCTCTCTAAATCAATTCTTACTAGTAACGATTATAATTAGAGAGCTCTCTAATTCAGTTATTACTAGTAAGAATTCCAATTACAGAGCTCTCTAATTCAATTCTTACTAGTACCAATTCCAATTAAAGAGCTCTACAAATCAATTTTTACTAGTCATATGTCTCCATTGACTTCCATTCATTTATAATTACAGAGCTCTACCTCAGAATTTTTACTAGTAAGAATTCCAATTAGAGAGCTCTCTAAATACATTTTTACTAGTAACAATTCCGATTAGAGAGCTCTCTAATTTAATTATTACTAGTAAAAATACAATTACAGAGCTCTATAATTAAATTTTTATTAGTAAAAAACCACATTAAAGATACGTTTAATTGCAGAGCTCTGTAATTGAATTAAAGAGCTCTTTAATTCAGTTCTTAGTAGTAACAATTGAATTAGAGAGCTCTCTAAATGGAATTCTTACTAGTAAAAACTGAAGAGGGAGTTAGCAAGCACACTCCATCCCAGTAGGTGGCGGAATATGCACCAAAAGCTGGTTTGCCAACCGCCATTAAACATCATCATCATAAGAAGAAGGGAGTTAGCAATAACAAGCAGCAGTAACCAGCATGGTTCACCTGCTGAACACATTGTGCAGTGTCCTTGTTGGGAAATGTGTAATATCAAGCCCAGTCTAAAAGGAGTTTTTTTTTTTTCCTATTTAAAAGTGTACATTGCTGATGTTTTTTTGCAGAGATGTTACATGTAATTATGGCCTATGTTTGGATTAATGCTAAGAGTTTAAGATAGTGTATTTGTATGCATTTTAGGAGGACTCTTTATTGGTGAGGCTACCACATCATGGTCCATACAGATTTAAAGTTCTTTTCGACGTGAGACCATAGTTTGGAATATTTTTGACTTTTCCTGGTTAGGAAGCGTCTGGTGTTTGAGTATGGCAAGCTGTTTTGACTTTTATTCATTCTCAGGATATGAATTCTTGAATTATAGAGCTCTGTAATTAATTGTTACTAGTAAGAATGCAATTGCAGAGCTCTCTAATTTAATTGTTACTAATAAGAATTGTATTAGAGAGCTCTCTAACTGTAATTCTTACTAGTAAGAATGTAGCTGTAGTATTAAGGTGGGTCACCTGCAGTGTAAGACGCACAAAGCTCAAGACGTTCGGATAGACGTTTGGTTTGACGTTCGATCGGTCGGTCGTTCGAACGTTTGATTTTGGCACGGAGTGCACGCCATAATTAAGGTGTTTACATGTGTATACTGCACTTCAGTAATGTGACTAAAATAGGAATACTCTGCGTCTTAATTTGATTTCTGTTTACTTCGAATATGACTTTAGCCGGATTAAGGTAATAAAAAAATCTCTGTATTTGGACATTGATGTACAACAGATAAGACTTTCACACACATCAACTTTCACATGACGGAATCCTACAATCTTACATTGCTTTGTTTGCGTTCTTTTAGTTATTTTTTGTACTTTTGTGTATTTGTGTTTTTGGCTATATGTAGCTGCATTAACATGAATTGAATGTTTTCTATTTTGTATTTAATAAATCCATTGATTTGAAATCCCTTTGACTACTGTACGTTTTTGACAATATAGACATTAGTTATGTGGTGACTGCTTCCATGTGTATAACTGTTTTTCCCAATGACTTAAGTTATAATATCTGAAAAGTATTTAAAGTGAAACTTTATAATGTTTCCAACCCTGTTCCTGGTGATCTACCTCCTGCAGAGTTCAGCTCCAACCCTGATCAAACAGAGCTGAACCAACTAATTAGGATCTGAAGGAGCACTTGATAATTACAGACAGGTGTGTTTGATCAGGGTTGGAACTGAACTTTGCAGGAAGGTAGATCTCCAGTACCAGGACTGGGCACACTAGATTAATGGTGTGGGCCTAGTGAGGGCTGCCCGTGCAGGGCCAGCATTAAGGGGCCAATGTTTTGTCAATGAGCAAAATCTCAGAGGTCCTGCACTGGCAGCCCGCTGGGGGCCCTTAGGCTAGTCCTAAGTGGGCCCGTAAAGGGCCAGTACAGGCTTGTTTGCAGGGATATATTTACATGACTTTTTAAAAATGCCGGGTAGCCTGTGTTTCTTATTGGTTTGACCAATCAGCGAACACTCACTGATAAGTTCCTATCGAACTGTTTAAGACTCTACTCTGAAGTAGGATCTAATTTAGTTCCCCCAAATGGAGTTCCTAGAACTAAATATGTTCCTGCGATGCAAACAGCAAAAATTGGGAACTTCTGCCAATAGTTCTAGGAACTATGGAAAGGTTCCTCCGGTGTGAAAGCAAGCACCTATATGGCGTTGACACTGTGGGTTTACACTGTGCATTACACGGAACCTGAACCTGTGGTCTAAAAATAGATCAACCCGATAGGACCTGAGAGCCTAGGGTTGGATTCGCATTCACAAACACTCCTATATAGAGTGGACCCTTACACCAATAGGTGAAGCTATACAGAGTGCCTCATAAGCAAGAAAAATTTAACCAGAACCCCAACGTGACAAAGTCTGCTTGTTAGCAGCGGAACCTCGGAGCCCTGAAACAGCTCGCTAGCAGGGAACAACCAAGCTTTTTATGAAATATTTATGATTGGAGACAGGGCAGAAACCCGCCCATTGATGATGTTGTGGTTTCACACTTGAAGTGGCTCATCCTTAATATCCCAGTCAGGCTCCTTGGTGTCAGGATTTTCTTTTCTTCACCATCTGGACCAGAATGACAGACCTCAAATCAACCCTTGTGCCGGGTGTCCGAGATTGTGTAAGGCATCCACAGCCGCAGGCTTTACGAGGGACATGGGCTGCCACACTGACTTTTTCTTCTTCCCTGCTAGAACTAGAGCCTGGCTGGGGCTGGCTGGTAAACACCACTCGCTCCTGAACCCGGTCAGGGATGAACTGCTGGAATGGCACCATTTGTTTTTCAGCTGCCTGAAACCTGTTGACAGTAGTACCTGCGTCACAGAACCGGCCAGATGACTGTATTGGGATGTCCAGCACGAAGGCTTTTTTCCTTTTCCTAACACTCATACATTCGCCTTTGCGGGGGCAGTGGGGCTAAAGAGTCATTGATGTAAAAGTGGGCATTGATCTTCTTCTGCTGAGGCAGTCTGTAGTCACAATATGATGTTATACTAAGACGAAATATGTAATTAATCATTTTGGCAGCTCGGTTTCAATAAAAGCTGTTTTTAGGCTGATGAGGATGTTTATTTTTTATGTTTTTTTTAATAGTACAACAACTTAAAAAATTTGACTGGGTTAATGGTATAATTCATGCATTCCAAACTAGGCACAAAACATTTAAGAATAAATAAACAGAATGATCATCAGTATTTTCTGAAATTCCTTTGTGGTTAATTTAAGGAGAGACAATAAAAACATTGAACTTTTCAAAGTTTCAGTAAACGTCTTTTTTTTTTCAAAGATACTCTTATGTTGAAATTATTGTGTTACGTCATTTAAAATGGCTGAACTAAATATTGGTTTTTTTTAATAGTACAACAACTTAAAAAATTTGACTGGGTTAATGGTATAATTCATGCATTCCAAACTAGGCACAAAACATTTAAGAATAAATAAACAGAATGATCATCAGTATTTTCTGAAATTCCTTTGTGGTTAATTTAAGGAGAGACAATAAAAACATTGAACTTTTCAAAGTTTCAGTAAACGTCTTTTTTTTTCAAAGATACTCTTATGTTGAAATTATTGTGTTACGTCATTTAAAATGGCTGAACTAAATATTGGAAAACATTGTGAGATTGAATCTTGCAAACAAAAAGGTACGTTCTTTAAAGTTTCCCCATCTAAGCCGTTGAAAAATTGAGTAATTTCTAGTAGAAATCACAATTTACAGCCTGTTTCTAGAGCCTTTATTTATACAAATAGCCGTTGTGAACACAAGCTGTAACATCAGTGTGATGTGAGTCAGCAGCAAAAAAGGAATATTAATAATTTTCATGTTTCAATGTAGACTTTCTACCATTCGTATGCAGCAGCTGTTCTGGAGTGTTTTGGTAAGATTTTGTGCCGTTGGCTTTGAAGACAATATAAACAGTTATGCCGAGTTCACACTGCACGATTTTAGCCCGATTTTTCACTCGCCGACAGGTTTTGGGAAATCGCCGACAAATGCCCGAAATCGGAGGCAAATCGGTGCTCGTTCAATCACGCAGTGTGAATTATCAAAGACGCGATCTGAGGGAATCGCAATCACGGTGTGTGAAATCAGTGTTGCCAACTAATTTTCAGAGAAAGTTGCTAAAGGATGTTGTGACTTCATTGCGTAATCACGACGCAAAATTGTCACAACATCAAATCTCAGCAAAAAATATATTTTATATATGTTAATTTTGATTTGTTTGTAAAATAATATGCATGATATAATATTAAGATATAAATAACTGTGTTTTTAAATACATTGAATTATTGAAAACGTACACATTTTTGAATGGTTTCAATGTAAGTTTTTTTAATAGCTAGTAAACTAGTAATTCTACACATTCTCAACTAATATGCTTTAAGCAGCGTATTAGTAGTTAGTTAGTATGCGACACTCTAAGAAAAGTCTGTAAAAATAAGGCACAATCTACTATGTTAATATGAAAGAATTTTCCGTAATGGTTTTTTACCTGCATTTTAAATTACGCATTGTGTTTTCGGGTTGCAGGGTTACAATGGATGATGGATAATCGATAATGTCCTGAAAGATTTTCCATTTTTCTTACAGTATACTAACTGATCAACAATCGCAGGTACAAGCTACTAACAAACTGTATCATAAATGAACAAATTATTCAATTATTATTATTATTATTAAATTGAACAATTGCAAATAGCAGCTAACTCAATTCATGTGATGTGTGTACTGCTAGGCATCTGTGGTTTCCTCTTTTTGTGTAATTTGGATGGAAAATGTGTGCCTTTTTAAGTCACTTATCAAGAGTTGCCAAATCAAATTTTTTTTAATTGCTAAATTTGTTGCTAGGTGCTTTTGGAAGAAAAAGTTGCTAGGGTAGTCTGAAAAGTTGCTAAATTTAGCAACAAAATTGCTAAGTTGGCAACACTGTGTGCAATGATTTCTGACTGAAAACTACATCAGCGATGACGTACAGCTAATGAGAGACCAAGATACAAGGCAGAGGGAAGTTCGGGGAGGAGTTATAGACCAGAATATCAGTATTTTAATAGATATATGAACAATTATATCATACAGAAACAAGCACAAACATGTGCTTGACCAGCCACAACATCAGCATAACAGTTACTTGAAAATTATTTAACTCTCCAACTCTCTTTGCAGAACACTCAATCCCTGTTCCCTGCATCTCCCTCCTGCATAATCTGTTTTTCTTTTTCTCCTTGTAGCTGGAAATCAGCTCACAGACAGTTTGCGGGCTATATATATATATTTTTAATAATTCCAGTCTTGCTCGAGAACTCCGGTCTGATGCACGCGGGTTCTCGTGTTATTTCCTTATCACTTCTCGCGTGTGTTTTGTTGTGAAACGTAGTTTGCGGACCAGACAGAGCTGTCGGCGATTCTTCCTATTGTGAAGTCATGCAGTGTGTAACCTCCTGTCGCCGATCCATCGTGCAATGTGAACACAGCAGCAACTGACTGCTATGCGTCAGGAGATAGTCATGCAGTGTGAAAACCACGGTGACCCGACGACTTTGAAAATCGTGCAGTGTGAACTCGGCATTAATCTCAAATCTGTACAAATCTAATTCAATTAAATAGTGCAGATCTGAGTAATAACAAAGACAGGAAAATGACTGACTATGGTGGTCCTATCATGTTTTTTCTTTCTTTTCATAATGGTCCCATGGCATTTGTGGAATGCCATAATAATACTATGGTATTCACTACCATAATATTTATTAAATACCATTCTGGTACCTTTCAGTGGTAATTCCACAGTATATTTTGTGGGGAGACACATGGGTTTTTTTATATAGTACATTCATAAATTGTGTAGGAAAATTAGTCTTTAAGGCATTCGATTTGAGATTTTCTATAATTCATTTCATTCATTGCAATCATTATTTTTTCTCATGTAACATTAAATCTCCTCTACTGGCTAAAGTTTGGAACACAGAAGCCGGGACTCCCACTCTTGTCCAGAGGTGAGTGAGAAATGGGTTTACTAAGACAAAAAAAGTCAAATTAATAATTAGTGCAATATACAATTGTTAAAACCATAACATATGCATATATTCTGTACACACACAGATTATAGAAATGTGTGTGTTTTTTTGACTAATTCCTGGGGTTTGAATGGCTGTTATAGATTATTCTCTTAATTCTTTCAGGTGCTGGTGAAGAAAGAGATTGGGTCTGGGGGAAGCAAATCATATCCATGTAGCTATGAGGACTGCAAAGGGAAAGAGCTGCTGCCTGTCATCTGCCCACACTGTGAAAAACACTTCTGTCTCACGTATAAAACCTCTTACAATCATCATTTAATAGTCCTGCATTTCATACTTTACGTTTCTAACACCACTTAAGTGTCACCCTAATGGACAGAGAGACTATAGTGGAAAACTAGTAGATAAAACAATAATGTTTTGTGCATATAGTCACAGGCACAGCTGGTGTACTAGGTGTTGTGTCCTCTTCTACATATTTGACTGTTTTCCTCCGGTTTCAGACATCGGCATCAGGATGACCATAAGTGTGAGAAACTGGAGATTCCAAAGCCTCGCATGGCTGCAACACAGGAGCTGGTGCAGAAGATAGTGGGTCAGTTTTTTTTAGCAATACACCGCAAAGTACACTGTTTTGTCTTGGATTTCTGTCTCCTGATGTTTGGGGTATGTACAATTTCTGTCCACTAGATGGCAGTAGTGTCTAAACTTGGAGTTTGTAATACCAAATAATTCTTAGAAAGCCAAAGAATAATCTCTACAATACTTCCAACAGAGTCAAAGAAGAATGCACCACCAAGTAAAGGCAGAAAAGGCGCAAAAAATGCTGCAACCATCATTTGATAACATCACAAATACATGACTTTCCCAGTTATAGATTACTATATTAGATACATGATTTTAAAGTTTTGAACAAATTGTTTTAGTAGTTAAATTAGTCACATAAAAAAGTGTGTGTAAAGTGAAAATTTAGAAAATGTTTTTCTACAGAGGCCCACATACTTGTGATAAAACTAATTGTGATAAACCTTTTATATGTTCTATTTCACTTATTCATAAGGAAGATTAGGAAGATTACCTTTTTTCAGACCTTTTCTTGCTCTTGATTGGCTAGTGTTGAAGGTCATTTTTACTGAAGGTTTACTAATAATCTGTAAATAAAGGGGCACAGTGACAAAAGAAACAAATGCAAACACATACACAACTAACCTGTAACCTGTAGTGAGTGTGCATTATTAATAATAAAAGAAGACACAGAAGTCACAGATTTCTAATATTGATTGCCTTATTTTTGTGCAATATCAAGATCAGGGGCAATAATGGCCACTAAAGGAACTGCTGAAGGTCTCTGGCTTGCGGTGGCGAGAAAGAAATAAAGAGCTTTCTTTAATTCAGCATTCAATGGGAAATATCTGATTTGTGACAAAACAAGAATCATCAGTATCAGCAGAAACAACGAGGATGAACATGGGTGCTGGTGAGGAAAAGAACACAGACAATGCATTTTTTCCCAGCTGGTTTAAGAGAAGCTTTTACAATATGACTATTATTATTATTATTATGCAAAAGTATGTCTCTTGTGGAAGGCTTGTCAACGTCATTAAATGGAAAGTACATTACATTGTAACTTCTTGAGGTGACAAACCTGTCCCTTGACTTTTCAGTCATGAAAAAAGTTGCATTTATTTTTATAATATCAATTTACATAATGTGAAAAAAAAACCCTCCATCTGGTACAACTGTGACGTTTAGCGTTATTCTTTAAATTATTTTGTTTTCCAGGGTTAAACATTAGTGCAAGGTCTAACAATTCTGCAGGACAGCAAGTCAAAATAAGTAATTAATGATATAAATAATTAGAAAAGAATGCTTGCCCAAAAGTTATAAGCTTGCTTTTTCTAAAATACAAACGGTTGTGGAAACTCAAAATCAAAATTTTTTTTTTTTCATAAATGTTTTTTATTATGCTTTTTTCATATTTAAATATGTCATTGGTGTCAAATTAATGTTTGAGTGACATAATAATGATTCAAGTGATTTTATTTAAGAGTACATGGGGCTGTTAACACAGGCCAAGCAATTGTCATTCAACTTACTTAATATGCCGTGCACTTGTGCAGTGGCTATTAATATTGCACAAATCCTACTGCTGTCTCCACGGTAATCAAGAATGAGTCAGAATAAGCTGCATAACTTATCAAAGATTGTGTAAGTTAAAAGCTGAAAGTTGTAAAAAAAAGGAAAAAAAAAAAAGAATCTGGTTTGTGCCTAAAATGCATTGCTGAACTGCATAATGATGCTGTCCTTCGCAATAATTGTCTCTGAAAGTCATGCTTGCTCACACATACATACACACCCACACTGGTTAGATGCAAGTAATTGCTCATTGAACAGTCTGTGAGGATGGCTGCTAGTGTGGACTTTAGCACAGAGTTGATCAATGCTTGTATCAACCCACTCTCTGTGTAGGCTAAGATTTATATTGCAAACATCCCCAAAACAGCACGGGGTGAATGGGGAATGATTGAAGCTGCTGTCTCTTTGTGGTGAAACCTCTTAATAAATCTGTCAAACACACAGTCTCAATGAAATCCAAACAGTTACGTTAAAAAAAGTGAATTCACCTGATTTATTTAGTTTAGGAGTAAGATTAGATTTAGACAAGGTTTAGAGGGTTTGTTTAGGGATAGACATGTTCCATACCTTAAAATTGTGTAAAGATAAATCCTTGTCTGTTCTGGACATTTTAAAATTTGCACTTATGATTGTAACATTTAAAACTAAATTCATATACAAGCATGAAATTACAAAACGGATGTACTACATTAAATGGGTCATCAGGAGGCCAAGCCAAAAATGTAAGTGACTTGTTTCTGCCAATGATCTGATGATGGTGTGACATGGAAAATAATTAGAATATTTGAGGTGTTTGCAGATGTTAATAGGTAATTATATTGATACAAACATATGTGACTCTAGCTGCTCAAACTTGATTGGCTGTTTTAGGACATTAGCACAAAAGAGAATGCACTTAAAAAAAAATTTAGTTATACACCACACCATATAGTACTGTTTCTCAAATTTGACAACATTTGTTGTGTGCAAACATGCATAAAATATACAACATAATATTTAAAATACAACATTGTATACACACATTAGTCACAATAATGAACATGGTTGGCAACAATGGTAACATGCAACTTGCAATGTTACAGCAAATACAATCATCTATGATACCACCCCCAAACCCATTTCACATGCTTTTAACGTTTTAGCACAATCAGATAAAACTTACTCTGATTTGACCATAGATAGATGCAAAGCATAACAAGCCACAATGCTGAATAAAATCAGGGAAACACACACACCAGCATCTTCAATGCTTGAGCTCGTAATGACAGATTATTGGAAAAGCAGCAACAGCAAAGCCTATACATATTATCTCATCTCTTGCATGTCATTGGATGAATACTCTAGAAGACAGTTTTTTTTGTGTGATGCTACTGTTTGGAATGGGAACGTCTTATATTTGTAATATCATTATGGAAATAAGTGCTGATGGATTTAAGCCTTATTTTCTGCATGTGTGATGGTGGGGCTATTCTATCCTCCTCATTATCAGATATGCACCTGATGCTCACTGTAAGCTGCTCCTGGAACATAGAGCAGAACCACATACAGTATACTCATTACTGACAAATATTTTATTTTATTTTATTTTAAAGTTGTAACACAAGTGACAATAACCACAAATTGTGAAAAACATACATGCACAAATATCACTTGAGACACTGCACCAAATGCCACTCTTAACCAAGAAGAAAATAAAAGGACAGGGACTTGGGTTTGCCTCGTAGCATGGAAGTAAGAGGGGCCGTGTGCATGCTGAAACTCTTCACAAACTGTCGATAGAAGTTTGCGAATCCCAGGAATCTTTGTAACTCCTTCACCGACTGTGAAAGCGGCCATTCCCTTCCCCACATTGCTGTGACAGCACGACCCCAACGCCGGTGGTAGAGGCGTCAATTTCCACTACAAATGGTACCTGGGGATCCAGATGGGGAAGGATGGGGGCCGTGTTGAAGGCCTCCTTGAGCTGGTTGAATGTTTCGAGGGCATGGCTGTTCCAGGACAGGGACTTGGGTTTGCCTCGTAGCATGGAAATAAGAGGGGCCGTGTGCATGCTGAAACTCTTCACAAACTGTCGATAGAAGTTTGCGAATCCCAGGAATCTTTGTAACTCCTTCACCGACTGTGAAAGCGGCCATTCCCTGATGGCCTTAACCTTCTCCTGGTCCATCTGGATACCTTCCTTGCTGATGACATATCCAAGGAACTAGACTGAGGAGCGATGGAATTCTCACTTCTCCAATTTCAGATACAGCTGGTGTTGACGGAGCTTCTGAAGGAACTGCGTGACGTGGTGGCGATGTTCGGCCAGGTTCCGGGAGTAGATGAGAATATCATCAATGTAGACCATCACAAACTTATTGAGGAACTACCGAAACACCTCGTTCATGAAGCTTTGGAAGACGTACGGGGAGTTTGAGAGGCCATACTGCATGACCCGATATTCATAGTGGCCTGCGGGGGTAATGAACGCCGTCTTCCACTTCTCACTTCTCCAATTTCAGATACAGCTGGTGTTGACGGAGCTTCTGAAGGAACTGCGTGACGTGGTGGCGATGTTCGGCCAGGTTCCGGGAGTAGATGAGAATATCATCAATGTAGACAATCACAAACTGATTGAGGAACTCCCGAAACACCTCGTTCATGAAGCTTTGGAAGACGGACGGGGAGTTTGAGAGGCCATACTGCATGACCTGATATTCAGATGGTCGGATGAAACCTTGCTTAAGAGCCTCCTGGATGTAATCCAGCCCATGAAAAAAGCCCATGCCCTAGCGGCTTTCCCTGACTCGGAGCTCGGAGCTTGACGTAGGCGGGGTAGATGGAGATGATTTAGGAGGTCATAGGATATGAAATTGCCCGAAGAGCCCGAATCGACGAGGGCTGAAACTGAAACCGAGACGTCTGGTAGCAGGGATAGAAATGTAGATATTTCTGGTTCTAGTTGGAGTGTACTCACCGCCGGGCATGGGGGTTTGACTGGGCAGAAGCTGATGAAATGTCCTGGAGCACCACAGTAAAGGCAGAGTCCGGCCGCGGCGTGAGTGAGTTGGGTACAATCCATTTGCATGGGCTCTGGTACAGAGGGACCGCTGGTGGACACGAAGGGCTGGTGGGCGGCTTCTTGGGGCTGACAACCGTGCCCACAAAGAATAAACTTGAGGCTGCCAGGGAGGTGGATGGTCGGATGAAACCTTGCTTAAGAGCCTCCTGGATGTAATTCAGCCCATGAAAAAAGCCCATGCCCTAGCGGCTTTCCCAGACTCGGAGCTCGGAGCTTGACGTTGGCGGGGTAGATGGAGATGATTTAGGAGATTTAAGAGCCCGAATCGACGAGGGCTGAAACTGAAACCGAGAGGTCTGGTAGCAGGGATAGAAATGTAGATATTTCTGGTTCTAGTTGGAGTGTACTCACCGCCGGGCATGGGGGTTTGACTGGGCAGAAGCTGATGAAATATCCTGGAGCGCCACAGTAAAGGCAGAGTTCGGCTGTTAAGCGGCGAGAGTGCTCGGTGCGAGCGAGTCGGGTAGAATCCATTTGCATGGGCTCTGGTACAGAGGGACCACTGGTGGACGCGAAGGGCTGGTGGGCGGCTTCGTGGGGCTGGCAGGCTGACAACTGTTGCGAGAGGCTCGTTGTAGGAAGCCTTCTAGTCCGATGTTGTCATCGTAGATGGCCATTTGAGTGCGAATGGGAGGGTCCAGACCTT